CTGGTAACACCCCCCACCCCACCCGATTGGTCCAAAGTACGTCTGATCTTTATTCAGAACTATCAGATATTTCAAAATCTATTAATTTGCGACGGAAATGAAGTTATATTTGTGTTCAGCGCATCAATATTTAGTAGAAAATGGAAAACATGTTTATAAAAGTGTGTGGGACGGGAGGGGAAGTAAAAACATACCCAGCAGATCTACTTCACTACAATAAAATATCTCTCTAAATTTAGAATCTAGATTAGATCTAGAAAAAAATATTTGAGATAAAATACGGTCACGTTCTTGACCTAGAGATCTAGATTAGCTTAAATCTATTCTAGTATTTCTGACTGGTCCAGGTGATCTCTGATGAAGCAGCCGCGTCTGACCGTACGGTGTTGATTCGTCGTGTCGTCTTTCCCAGAAATCTAGACCTTAGTTTAGACTACTAAGGGTTCGCGGTATAAATAAAGAAGAGGTCGAGGTGGATGAGGGTGTTTTTATAACCCTCTCGAGCTGCGAAACAATCTTTAAAAGCAATCCACCAACAGGAATTATTGTCATGCGGCGTAGGCTAGATCTAGACACTGCCAGTTTCACTCAGTCTGGTACCGGTAATCTATAGACAGAGGCCTCCATAGCCATAGCCTAGTTTAATAATAATAATAATTTAATAGGAAGTGCCTCATCTTGTTATTTTAAAAGAAGACCTAATTGTCTATACATTACCTAGATATCTAGCTTATAGAATCTGTACAGAGATTGTGCTTTGGTAATTCGCATCTTCGTCTTCTGTTCAGGAATTATAATCTTCTGTGATTGTAGACTGTGGGTACATTATGCGAGTATATTATATTCATCATCATCATCATGTATGTGAGTGTCATTCTTTATCCGGTTTCAGTGGATAGCCTCATTATAAAGTGCTTTTCTGACCGGTTCAAGCAAGCTCAAAAGTCTGTGTAGAGTGCTGGTATTGTGCATTCGTAACGGTAACGGTCATCTTCGCTTCTGTTGTGGAATATATTAAATTATGAACTGTGAGTCGCAGTGAGTGTGCAGTGTTGACTTAGATCTAGATCTAGCTCCTTCATCTGTTCTTCCCTGACCAGTTCCTACAGGCTCTGCAATCACAGTAGGATTAAGAGGAGGAGCATTGATACAATTTGTGCATTCGTAACAACAATGGCCAAATTCTGTTGTGGAATATTATAAATTATCGACGGTGAACTCTGAGTGTGAAGTGCGGACATAAAAGTATTATCACCACCATCATCATCATCATCATTATCTGACATCCATCCTGCCCTGACCGCTGCCAGCTTCACTACAACAACACTGGTGGGCAACCCTTCCTCACTTGCCATGTGGTGGGCGATGAAGCCTCTCCGCTTCCTGGAAAATCGATGGTAACTGGCTCATGATCCTTATAAATCTTTCCCCTTCGCATTGATTCTTTTATTTTGTCACGCGGGTGGCACAGCTGTGCTCTGTTGTTTGCAGTTTCCTTCCTTCTATGTCTGTAGAAGTGTAATATGTAATGTTATCGCTTGCTCTAACACCAGACCAGCCTGTTATTCATTTCCGAAAACCTTCCCCATGTGTCTTCACCTTCAACTTCAACTGCCCATTCCTTCTTTTCTATAATCTCTCTCTCTCTCTTTCTCTCTCTCTCTCTCTCTCTCTCTCTCTCTCTCT